GCCAATGGATTGACATGGTGATCTAGCCTCGTCTCGTGTTTGCGAGCAAACTTTTGGATTTCGTCTGCTACGGTAGGCAGCATTATATCACGGTGAATTGTGTTGTTTCTTTCGAAAAGGTAGGCTGCAGTGATGGTCCGAAGAGCGATGTTTTGCAGTGTTGTATTACATCGATATTAGACTTACTGGCACAACCCCATAGTTGAATGCAGTAAATCCGTATCGGTTTTATAATTGCTACATACAGTAGGTATAGAGCGGGGTCCGACTAACCAATAAAGTTTTCGCATTTTTTAGATCTGAATTTTTTTCTGACGGACATGGTGTTTCCAGTTTAGACGAGAGTGTCAAGGTGCATTCCAAGATATTTTGCTGAATCTTATTGTGGGATTGGTGATTGATTCAGTACTATTTGGATGTTTTCGGTTTTAAGTAACGTATAGTTAACGTGTACCGATTTATCACCATTGATCTTAATTTTCCGACGTTTCGTCCAGGCAAAGATATTGTCAATTGACTTCTGTAAGTTATCAGCTGCTGTGAGCTGACTATTACGATTGTTCCCGAAATGAAAAATTAAAAAAATTAAAAAATTAAATTTATTAGGAGCTTTTTATTATATTATATTTGTATTGCCCATCTATTCAAATGTCGAAAAATTAATAATTAGTAGAAACTATAAATATACCATTAAAACACCCCTTCACATTCTTTATAATATTTTATCGATTTTTTTTTAATAAATTCAAATTATGTACCTATTACATAATATACACCATATCTAATGTCTATCTATACCTATATTTTGTATATTATGTACCTACTACCTATCACCTATATGATACTGTATAATATAGTAGAATAAATGAATAGTAATATAACGTTGTATTTGATTCCCGATCGTGTATAATCAAAAATTGTATTTATTTATACGTTTGAAGAAATTAATGTAGGTTAATTATTATTATATTGCAATTATCAGTGATCAGTAACTACATGTGTCGTATACTTTTAATATAGACATAAGATAATAATCTATTTGGATTCTTTTAGAATTTAAATTATAGAAATTGAAGTGTAATAGTCGTATCTATATAGGATAAACTTATTTTATTACTCTTGATTATTATCTAGAGTTGTCGAGTGTTACATTACGACGTATATTAGTTATGTATTATAGTTACTAAAGATAATAAAATATGCATTTAATATGGTAATACAACAGTTTAAATTGTATGCAATAGTAGATACTTGTTGACTTGGTAGTTTCGTAGAGATGACTTTAATCATAACGGGTTTATTATTCTGTTTGGATAAACATGAACATAAACAACATATAAAAATATTTTGAAATTTAATATTGTTATTAATTTTTATATTATATAATGCACCTATTTAAAACTAAAAATAATATTAATATACAATGATAACATGTCAACAGCATTTTAGTTCATAAATGATCGTTGAGCGTTCTATACAACGATATGAATAGGTACTGTTAGAATTGTATAAAAATGTAATTACAGTGTTTCTCTTAAGTCTTAAGTATAATATTATTTAGAGTATATTTTTGGCCATAGCACTTTTATCTATTTTTGTGAATTTAGTGGACTGTCCTACTGTAGTACAATTTATTACATCCACGATCCGCGTCCATTGTTGATCCGCACTTCATCCATTTCTATATTTTCAAAAAATAAATTGTGTTTCTTTAAAGTATAATATATACTTTATAGGAAATCCTTTCGGCCATAGTACTGTATCTATTTTTGAGGTTGTGTGGACTATGGTGCAATTCACATGCATCCGTCATTTATCGCTCGGCTTTGCATCATTTTCTATATTTTTGCATCGTTGAATCTCACACCTACTACAACAGTCTGTACGCTATCTGCAAGTATCTAGTCTTCCAGTGATATCTGCACAATGACCGATAGCAGTGTGCCACTATACTTATATAGTTATATTATACTTACTCCACTCTAGGCTTTGTGTACAATGGATAAACTGGCTTTTTTGATTTATACTGGAAGGTAGGTACTTTATGAAAGCATACCACGGAAAACTAACTAAATGTAAAATTATGTCGATAAGTTATGGTCTTATAATCGTTTATGTCGTGTTGTAAAAATGAAAATATCGCCTTAACATGAGACAGAGAGAAAAAGTAATAACCCCTCAAGTGAGAATTTTAAACAGTTTTAAATACTGCGAATTGTAAATTTGATTGTAGTGTTACTTATAGCCTCTATTTAATCTTAAAGTAGGCTAATAAATAATAATCATACATTTTTTCGAGCCTTAATATGTAATAATACATTTTAAGATGTAGGTATAAGGTATAGCCGTATAGGTATACCTAGGAATTATTATTTTTCTATAATCTGTAGCTATACATTTCACAAACTATATGATGTAGGTATTAGCTACCTATATCTGGTTTGTACATAACGGATTCTTGTTACTCACACAGTCATACGAGTCGTATTGTATATTTATCCATTTCACACTTCTTAGTTATTTTGCAACAAAGCCAGAGGGCGAGGTAAAATTCATATTAGTCATAATTTTTTCAAATTCCAATGATATATTGGATTGAGTATAATATAATTTGTAATGCCTCTATAATTCACCTCTGTTATTAATGGTGATGCATTGACGGGAACACAAAATATAAATATAAAGACTAGTTGTATGAGTCACCATGGGAAGATAGAAGTTTACTAATGCCTAAAATTATTATAAATCATTTGATTTTGGTGTAGATTTGATCGATTAGTAAAAACAATTGCAAAGATTATTAAATAATAAATTAAAATGTATTTTATATCAATAAATGTATCAAAGAAATACATAGGTACAACATAACTAATTAAATCTCAATAAACGGATACTAAATAGGTAGCACATTGTAGTGTTAGTTGTTAGATACTTATGATTTCTGACATAATATCTACCATTTCAGGGGAGGGGGTAATAAACTAATAACCCCCAGAATACGTTACTGCCAATACTATTTACTGTCGTCAACTAGATCGATACTTATTATAATAACTATGTGAGAAGTTATATTAAGGAAAGTCCACGTTTTACAAGCAAAACTAAGCCAATATAAAATATTTATAAATTATAATAATATTGCAGTCTTATAGATATTAAGACACATCTTATCTTAAAGACGAGATTACAATCAGAGTCATAATTACTAATTATTATAAATAGTTATTAATTATTATTATTACCGACCTAGCTATAAATACTTACGAAATTTATTATTTGGTCTCGGGCATTAAGTTGCCGACGAATATTCAATATTAATACACATTAATATGGCTTTGCTGCACCTGACTTTTTGTTTCAGATAACTGATACCTACCTAAGTGACAAGTTGTACAATTTTTTTTATAATTATTTTAAACACCCTCGGCAACATTAATTTAAAATAATAAAATGATTGTACATAAATAGTAACTTTGAGATATATTGTCCTACTACATCTAAATACTAGCTGCTGGCGGGCCTGTGATTAAGTGGTTGGGGGGTGTACCTAGCCTAAATACTAGATATGTTATTGAATACGGGCACCTAAAGTGTAATTTTATTTTATGATGTTGTTACCAATGATATGTTAGTCTGGTGTATTTTTTCATTTTCCAATGTTGAAAAGCTGTGTACCTGTTTTTTTGGATGTAAAACAAAAAATGTCAAGTTTATAAAGTCGAGTTTCCATATAGTGATCGGTCATGGGCTACAGCCTATTTGCGCCCCAGAGTAGTACATTTGCGGCCCGAGGGATATGGACAGATGCGCCTGAAAGATAAGGTACTACCTGCCGATTTATAGCCCATATGCGCCCATTTCGTATGCAACGTTGCCGTTGTGATTCATATTATTATAGATTATATTTATCTTGATAAATAACTTAAATTATTTAGATTACCTAGTAGATTATATTATAATCTACTAATTGTGCAGTTATTATTTATTTTCATGCACGGTTAAATTCTATGCTTTTGTGTTTTTTTCAATCCGACTACGGCGCTAGACAGCGATATACTTCGGTTGAAGTGCAATTAGGTCCGAGTCCAAGTAGAATGAAATCTACAACTGTAATGGAAGGTAAATAGAGTTAACATTTAAAGCGATTATACAGATAACTGATAATAGTCATAAAATTGGAATTATTTGCGTGCAAGACGATACATTCCTGATTTTAATAAACAGTGCCACAGTGGCGGTCCTCCTTGTTTGAAAACTCGGGGTACGTAATCGATGTTAAAGATTGCCACTGATACGGTGAACATGCATGCACGTATTTTATTGTGAGGTTGTGAGAATTTAATTAAAATATCACTTTACACATAATATATTTACATTCAATGCACGTCTTGATTGTCTTGCTATAATGTTGTGATATATCATCCACTCCACTCTCTTCTAATTACGCGCTTTTCCGCTAACTCGTGTTTTCGTCTACCTATGCTTAGTGTTTGCCAACTACAATTTATGAAACCTTGTTAATATAACTGACATTGCGCTTATTTAGTTTTTCTAAATTTGACGTCTGACGCACTTAACCAAGTATAGAATATTTTGAGAAACTAATTTCAAACAGTTTTAATATTGGCGAAAAGTGTGTTGACGTTTATTTTTTTTCATTTTTTTTTCTCATTTTCCAATGTACATTTTTAATAGGTACCTAAGTTCTATCAATTTTACTCGAAATATTTTGGTCATCAATATTCTGGAGGTACCTATAACATTATTACCTGTGTGTATTCTAACAGAATTATTGGCTTGTTAATAATTGTAATCTTATGGCTATATTCTATGATTTAAAATAATATTGACTCTACACATATTATAGAAAAATCATGTTAAAAATTAAAATCTAATTATAAAATAGGTTCATAAACAATTGTTTTAGATAACAAAATTATTTGGAGCATGTGATTTACAAATAATAATAATACATCATAGCATACTAGGTAATGATTTCATCTTTAACTATATGCTATTATATTATTAATTAATATGATAATTTTATGTGTTACCTAGTTAATTAATGTAAATTGCGATACATGTTTTACACTTGGATAAAGTACAATATAATCTTACTGTTAGTTACAATAGAATTTCTACATTTTGATTAATAGATACATTACTTAATTATAAAATAATTGATCCTATTATCTACATATTTCGTATACAACTTAAAAAATGTATTAGATGTACACTAAATAGTTATGGACCATACAAGCACTTATTATCCTTTAACATACATGAGTACTTAAGTATAAAAAAGTTTTTGAAAAAATATTAATTTTTATTTGGTTCCGAATAAAATGTACAGTTAGAACGTATTATGCATATTAAGGTACTGACTAAAAAGTCTAATGAAATAAAGAAATTATAATCAATAATGATAATAATATACTGATCAGTGATCAGATTTTAACATTGTAGTTTCATTATGAACACTTTTAAACATAAATTAGTATTAAATCAAATTATTGAAGTAGATTATGTACGTGAATGGTTTAAGTTTTGTACCTATTCGAGTATGGTTATTAATTAGATTCATTAAAACTGAATAATGATTAATGGGTATAATATGAAGGTAATAATAATAATAATAATAATAATAATAAATGAAATTTTTGATCCTCTGATATTTGATGATTTCCTAAAGGTTTTAGGTTTCTACATATAGCTGTAATATTTGATATTGTGTAAATATATATACGTGTTATACGCGTGCAAGATATTAATAATTAAATTAAATTAAATTAATTTTATTTTTAAAATATAAAAATGCTTATAACTTGCTTCAAAATTTAAATATCAAAAAAAGACACTCCTACAGAATATGTTGATATGAGGTATCTTTAAGTTTGATGATAGGTAAATTTACTCTAATATTAAAATACAACCAACCAAGCTAAATAAGAACAACTGAACGTAAATTGGCTGTGTTATCCATTTGTAAGATGGAGACGGCACACCTATATATGCCGGTGAGACGTCATCTTAAAATCTGTAGGCATATACCTAATACTCGTAGAGCACGGCTGCTGCAAGCCTGCAAACTAGATCTACAAAATTATCGATATGTTGTAAAAGGCCATAACCACCACTGATCGAAATCGAAATTTTAATTTTAGACGGATTGCAATACATACCTATTCGATACAGAACTATGGAAGTGAGTTGCAGCTGATGTGATTTTATACATATTTTGCTATTTGCTTTTAACATATCTAATCATAATATTATTTAATGTAGGATAACGGTGGTATGGTTTTCGCCTGTATATCGGCGTCGATCGTTGTTCTCCATCTCCATGGCCACTCGTTTTCTATCCACTCTGATTGTATAGCTGCAAGCTGCCAGTGCGTTTAATTAAAAAGCCACTTGTCAAGTGGAAAAAAAAAATAAAACCGTTATTTTCCATTTTTATTGACTACATATATGTACGTCTCGCTCACCAGACTTCAGTAATTGTAAGACACTTACAACAAATTATACACCTGCATAGACACACACACCATAAGCTGTTTCAATTGTGTTTTATAATAAATCAAGACATCAAGTCATTTAATATTCCATCATACGTCTTCATATTGTCCAATGGCCATACAGTTTTCAATTCACCGACACTGCCAATTTAATTAAATTTTTTATTATAAGTAGTTAAATACAAGTATTTAATTCAATTATCTTCAGTTATAATATAATATATGAATAATACAATTTAATAATTAGATTTATTATATAATATACGGGTGCAGCATAGTTTTCATTAGTCCCATAACACGTAAATCCTTGTTTTGGAAAGACTCAGCGTCAAATCAATATTTTTAATGTGTTGTTTTCGTAACTAATCTGTATGACTTTTGGGACATTCTGTATAACACTATGATTGTAATATATTTCTTTAACTTTGAATTTGAATTTAATACCACGGGCTGTGGATATACTTTACCTAATTTGATAAATTGTAGTGCTAAAATTTTACTTTTACTAATTGATATTCATTTCTAACTGCAATGACAACTATTAAAAACTATTAATTAGTAAGGGCTTAACGTTCTTTTAATTTTTACGAAAATAAAAAATATTTTTTTTGTTTTAAATTTTTTCGGTAAAAATAAATACAAATTTGAACGGACAAGTATTTTCATTTTAAAATCATAATTTATCAAGATTCTAAAAATAATTATTATTAGGTACGCTATGCGAATTAATAGTAGTTCTTTTTTACACTCAGACTTTTAATTTTTAACTGCCCACAGTAAATCGATTTGCACTCTTGTACTAATGTCAAGAATCGCTGAGTAGAGATAATGAATAAACCTACGTGTACTCATTACCCGATGATAGTTGGTTTATTCCTTGTGTAAACACATTAGATATCACAAATGAAAAATAGTGACGGTTTCAAGGTCCTTGAACTTCATTATTAAAATGTAATACCGTTAATTATTTTAATTTAATTTTAAGGATTCATTGAGATACTGTTAGCTTTGGAATATAATATGTGCCTACCTGTAATATCGAGAAAAACATTGACGTATGTATACAGCCATAAATGATGTAGGACAAAGAAATCACTGGACTTGTAATACCATCACACACTGACAGGTAATGCGTGAATGATATCAGTTAATATACTCAACGATTTTACATACTTTGACAGTTTTAATTTATCTTTGACACGGGAGTGCGTAAAAAAAATATATGTTTCTATTCAAATAAGCCGAACGTATTAATAATAATTGTAAACCTGACAGTTTCGCATAGTCCATATGTTTACCTATACCGGTACTTTATGTACGTCACATATAATAATATTGTCTCTCTGCGTGTGGAGTTTACAATTTTTAGCAATATCATAATATTGTTATAGCTTATGCGTAAGTGTTAAAACAACACTGTAAATATTTAGGTCGTAGGAGGCCGCATATATCCGCACAACCTACCTATGTGTATTATTATATTTGTTGTCTGTAAAAGAAAAAAAAAATGGCATAGTAGGTAGTGTCTGCTATATCCACAAGACTTGCAAACAAACTTACGCCTTAACGATTCGCGAACTATTGTATTAGTCTATATAATTTTGTATATCATATTAGCAACGGGGTTAACCATTATTGTATTAATGTAAACGTTAAATAATAACGAAAAATGTTCATGTACTGTTATTATAATATAGTGAAATGTAAAAATATGAACATGTTCGAAATGCGTGTTGTCCGTTGTGGACACTGGGCAGCGATACGCTCTGATGGTAATCATAAGACTTAATATTATACATTTATACATATCATAGTACCTATGACCGAGTTAACGCCGTTCACTCGTGGTTACTTCAGTGGACACGCGCATCTAGTTAAAACCTATGACAGGTCTTATCCAATTCATTAAAACATAATTCCATCAATATTGGTGGGATTGGTAAAAAACTATTTTGAAATTGATAAAAGATGACGCTATCGGCATATTTTGAGATGATTTCGAGATTGTTCGGTTCTTTATATATTTTTTTTTTTCATACGCATTTTATTCAAATCCATCGAAATTATTCAAAAGTACAATCTGTGTTCGATAATTTCCATGTCAATATTTCCTACGCGTATTTTATCTGTTGTATTATATTATGTGTTTTAAAAATAGATGTTTGTCCTTAAATCAATAATCATCAAAAACAGATAAGAAACTTGTGTATACTTTGGTCGAAATAATGGTGAACTCCCAATTTTATTTGGGGAAGGGCCGAAGGAGAGGCATACAAATTGGTCCATTCTAACCCGAATTCTATAATACTAAAAATTATAATAATATGTTTTGTATTATGAGAATATTATCCCTATAATTTTTACCAAGTAGGTAGCATTTTTTTTTGTTCTTTTTTAATTTTATGTCATGTATTGTAACTTCTAGGTTAATCTTTAATCCTGATTGGTATTTAACATTTAACTAGGTTTCTTTGAAAGTGGTTGACAGACGAAAATGGAAAATATCGAACCATAATGGTGGCCAACGGAAAACGAAAGACATTGGTTTATATATATATATGAACTATACAGAATTTCTTTATTATTGCGACCACCTGGGGATACGCAATCGGTGGTTAAAAATCTTGAAGGTTTTTTTTATCACACCGTCAATCGAAAAAACATAATTCCATTTATTTGATCGATACAATCGTTTAATTGATTCAATGGGGAAAACATCTTATGGTACAATAATATATAAACTATATACAGTACAGTATAGTCTAGACGTCTCTGCAAATGTCCAACATGTTCAACCTCCATTGTTGCAACTTTTGGGTATAATGGATTATCATAAAAATATTTCTTGTTTGTAAATATTAGCTACTATTATTGTGTTCATTTCATTTTGATTAATGTATAAGATATCTTCTCGACCTCAGACGATGTTATTGAATTGTCAAGAAAACACAAGTTTTCTTTTTGATGTATGAATTCAAATCATATTTTTTAAATTGGTTTTTAGTTGTTTTCAAAGTTGACTTATAAATTATAATAGCTATTTTATGTTCTACATATACAATGTGTTGCTCAAAATGTATGAGTTATAACAATAATAATTAATAGTCCTTGTTATAAGCTATTTAACAGTTATAAAATTCAAAATAATATAAAATAAACATATTTGCATACAATAGATTATAAATACATTCAGTAAAGTGCTAAATGTTACTACATAAAGTTTTTTGACCTAAATATTTAATGATATATGTTGATTTTATATGTGTAGGTCTTTGCTTCATATTTTACCTTGTTCGAAATTAATCTTAAAAAAATATACTCGCTAAACTCTAATTTTGGATTTTTAAACTGTATAAAATATGTACAACGTACTTATCTATAATCCGACTTCAGTTAATAATTGAATACCTATTAGACATATGCACATAAGTGTATTATGTGAGGTAATTGTGTAATATATAGGTACTTTATAATATAAACATAATTTTATAGTACTATTTGTAATTTTTCAGACCATATTTTAATTTGTATTAGGCATAATATATTCTCAGCGCACTTTACCATATAATTCTTGGATATAAATTTCCCAGTTCGGTCTTTGAATCCACGACCATTAGTGATTAATTACATTAAATGGAAACAGTTTACGTATCAAATCGGACATTTTGTGAGAAAAAAATATTTCTAGATGGTAACAGCCAGAGAGCAGAAAATGATTAGTCACCATTATTGAGCATTTGGTATTTGCAATATTATATATTGTAGCAGGTCTTACGTAAATTGATGATCTCACGGTTAATGGTTTGTTTACAATATTGTATTGTTAAAGACTTTGTTTTGAAATTATTCAGTTTTAATGTTTTTTAACAGTTGATCACGAAAATATTATTGAATGTTTAAGAAACATTCATGTAATGATATATTTTTTCCGAAATCACATCAAGCACATTACCTTAACAATTATTGGTACTCATACTACCTATATAATATCTATCATAAATTATATTTTGTTGTGTGTTTTTTAAACTTTTGACGTGCAACAAAAAGAAAAAAAAACATTAAAATATATCGACGTTTATTAGGTACCTAGGTAATTCTATGGACTGCTTCAGTAGTGATATAATAATAATAATAACAATAAAACCCATTCAATAAACTAATTAAATTGATACGGTGCAAATTGATTCTTTTATCAAATTGTTGATACATTATTACTTAGGCGTACCTATACATTATCATAATATTTGGATATATTATACCACGAGTGAATAATATGGTTGATATATACTGTGGTATAATACACGTAGTCGAGTGTATACCTACAACGTGCAGCATATAACGGTGCTGGGTGAAAAAAAAATCGTGGGCACACGGAAATCGTGCATCTATACCGAGTCACATGCGATAAATCGCATTAGAATGAAGAAGATAGCTGAAAAAAAAATGTTTAAATAAAAAAGAAGAAGACGGCGAAGAATAATATATTATTACAAAAACCTGTCGCGCGCATGTACCTGTATATATTTCAGCTTGCGTACTCGTTCACGCGTTAATTTGCCAATCTATTTTGTGAATAGACCAGACTGTATCATCATCATCATCATCATCATCATCATCGCCCACCATCACCATACCGGCATCACCGTATAGTTATTGCTATATGAGAATATGATAATATAAAATATGTACGCACAGGTACCTGCATATTATATCAATATCAGCCATCATTAACGATCCGGTTAGGGCCGCGAACGTGCTCGCAATATCATCATGTGCGTATATATTATGTACTCTATTAAAAGTCAATAAAACGACATTATATTTATTATATTATATTATGTATTATCATATACTTACGCCACGCGTGTCGGCTCGCGCATCGCATTACCTTTAGTGCCGGAGAGACGATGCGTTTGAGGCGGCCTACATCCTCCCACGTCGACAGGGACTTTGACAATGGACGAGCAACTGGGCTTTTATGGCGAGACGAGCCCAATGCACGCACGCCATACCCGACTGGGTACGTGCTTTATTGTTGGAACAAATTAAACTTGCTCGCGCCTACGTGCGGTTTTCGAAATATTGATGTATATATATTATTATATATGTACATGCTGTAGGCATACCGAGGTATAATAATTTTGTTTATATTATATATTGCAATAGTGCAGTATATGATATTATGATACTTTGTACTATTATCGGTGTATTATTGACGTATGAATGCCTACATAAAAGTTTAAGTTGGTCTCACTTCTATTATATCATGTATTCGTCTTTATCGGCCAACTGCTGCTGCAGTTCTTTCTTTTCAGTAACAAGCATTTCGTTTATTTGTCGAGCTCTGCAGCAGGAGTGTCGTTAGTGGGCGGTTGCTCCTATATCAACAGCCTATCTATTAAATCTTTTTCCGTCGTATTGTTTAAGCTTATCGTACACAATATGTAGATTCATACATTGTTTGACTTCAAATAAAAGTTCAAAAACGAAATATATTTATACAACAAAGCCATGGACATGTCAGGGTTTATCGTGCTGACGAGGCTTTAAAGATATTGGAAGTATTTTGTAGTGTTCTCTGGTACGTTTGAATTTGGAAACGGGTCCATACTCTATAATATTATGAAATTTATATCATAATCTTGGTTGTTTAAGCCCTTCGAATAGTATAAAATCTTACTTCTTAGTAGATATACTTATTGTATACGTTTTTGATGAATTGTTCCATAAAGGAACTGGCTTTGATGTTAAGATATCACTCATTTTCCTTCAAACGTAAGTTTAAAGATGAGACGTTTATTTTTAAAATTTTAAACAGCACGTAATATTATTTGTCCTGAAATCCTAGAAGAAATAGGTTGGTTCGTTCAGACCCGTTTTTAGATCTAAGATTACCTTTTATGAGTCATTCCATTCACAATCACAGTTTTAATGAACACTGCAAAAGTCTTACTTTTGATGATTTTGACATCAATTTTGAAAGTGAATCAAAACGTCGGCGTTTAAGTTTAAATTTCGAATAATACATTGTTCACATACATATAGGTTTAAAAATATTGTTTATTTCATTATAATATACAATAATAGTTGTTATATCATTTATTCTTAAGTTATATT